TTTTTATCTAAATTTATATTCATTTAATCATTCTATTATTCTTTAGGCTAAATAGTTAGATCTTTTTTATTGACTAGGTTGGCTTTGGGAATTTGGTAGATTTTTTAACTCAGTAATTTCTGCAGTAAGTAGGCACTTAACCAGAATTATCTTGGGACAAATTTCAAAACAAGTATATTACTGATTCTGTTCCCACTCCAGCCTACTAAATAAGGACTTTGATGGGACATGTGTATTTTATAAATGCTCTCTATATTATATGATTCTGGCAACCATTTACCACTCTAATTTAGTGAAGTTTTATAAGGTGGTAGAGCTCTTAGCTCAATTTCTACTTAGCTTCTGTTGTATCCTGAATGGCTGAAAGATCCTTCCCCTGATGGACATGGTTTGCAGTACAAGAACAACAGTATATAGTTATATACTTCTCTTGCAAGAGAATTTTTAAAAATCTGGTCAAATCTTCTGCCTTTTCTGTCTGCAGGAAAGGTCTTTGTGATGGGGAAGCTTCAACTCTTTTTTTAAAATTCTCTCTGCTACCTCATTTCTTCATTGTCCCTTTTTAGTTTCCATTTTGTGATGGTAAAAAGTTACACACATTGAGTAAGTAATATATTATAAAGAAAGGGAGCCAGGTAGTTGCGTATGCCTAAATGAAAATGGTATGAGGAAGAAATCAACCTCTTTATTTTTCTTCTCCTTCCTAAATTTTTTATGTATACACTTGATGATATGGAATTATTTGGGAATTTAAAATAAACCTGGAACAGCCTCTTGAATAGGAGGTGGAGACTGCAGTAATTGCCTACCCACATGCTTAGATTCTACAGAATAACATGAGGGGCCCATCCAGTCCCACACTTAATATTCTTTACTCCCAAGCAGGGCCGTTTTGGTGTTCTTGGTGTGCTCTACGGCCTGCTGGTTCCACTTCCAGTTGCCTTCACATCCTTTTGCTCCAAGCACCCAGATTCTTTTTTATTTTTCCCAGGCTTATTCTGGGTCCACTTCCTTCTTTGTCCTGTGACGTTCTTCCCAAGCATGGAGCCCTCATGTGGGCTATAAATACAACCTAAATATAAGCATTTACTTAAAATCAAAAAAGAAGAAAAATATCCCAATTGTCCTTTTGTAACAATTCAACAGTTTCTCTTCTTTCCTCTCAAATATAGGAAGGGACATAGAAAACGAAAAATTTTCTTCATCTACTCAGCCCAGAGCTATGCTGTTGTGTTCTGCCTCCTGTGATATAGCTCTTCAACCTGGAGATGAGTCTTGAGAGAAGTGTTTTAAGAGGAAAGACATATTTAAGCTGAGTTTTAGGAATGAACTTGCCCCTCTTTATTGCCACCTCTGTTTCTCCATTATTTGTTTCCTGTAACCAGAAAAACTATGGGGCTGCTCATACGACTAGGTTAAAACCCATGAAGGCAAAGATTGTCTGCTTTGTAACTGTATCCTCGTGTTTAGTACAATGCTTGGCACAGAGGAGGTGTTCAGTAAAAACTTAGTGAATAGAGAAAGAACCAAAACTGCTGAGTAGAAAGAAAACAGTCCACACAAAAATAACATACTATTACAACAAAATAAGGTTATTGTCTTAATAAGCTTTGTTACTTGGTTTCTTTAGGAGATGACAGTTTTTTCCTAAGTTTTAACCAGAGGAATTTATAAAATTTGAAGGATTTAGAGTGCTCAGGGCAACAATTAGAAGTGGGAATGACATGGTAAATGTAGACAATTTACCGCCAAGAGAAATAATAGGCTGGTGGCTTAGCAGTCAGGGTTCATTCAATGTAGAGTTGTTAACACTAAAGTGCTTAGTGTTACTGAGTAGAGCATGGATGGGCACCAAAGAACCATCACCTTCGGGCAGGGAAATGTGAGGACTGGCTGAGCCAGTGAGTCCACAGGTGGCCCCCAGAGAATGTTACACAGTGTAATACCGTTTAATAACTTGTGTGCATAATAATAGGTAGATAATACTTATTTTCATTTTGCTAAAATGTTTTTTAAAACATTAAAATTTATGAACATTTTGGTACATTAATAGTTTCATCTTTTTACTTCCTTGAAATTGTGAGGTGTTACTGACTAGATCCATAAAGGATTCTAGAATATGGACCCTGAACCTTGCTACTGACATAATGAAACATGCAAAGCTGGGAAAATGATGGAGGAAATGTAGAAAAAATGCCAGGACTTACTGAGTTTGGCCTAAATTGATCTTCTAGGAATTAATGTCTTAACATTCTCTTGAGTACTTCTCTTAGGCTTCTCATTTTTGCTTTTCACATAAAACTCAGAATATTGTAAATATTGATCTCAAAGAAGCAATTTTTAATTAAAATTTTAAATATACACAAAAAAAGTATACAAAGAAATATACACTTGATGACTTGTCAAAGTCACAACTAAGTTAATCAGCATCCAGATCAAGAAAATGAACATTACCGGAAAAGAACCCTTCTAGTCCTTTCGGTCTCACACCTTACTGAAGTCTAATAACATAGTTTGGGTTGAAGGAATGGTGTTAACACTTACTCTGAGGAGTTCTGGAGATTTCTTTAGTGAGCTTGGTTAAAGAAGAAAGAAGTATGAATACAAACAGTTATCTTTTGACTTTATTTCCCTTTCTGTAATATTTGCAGCTAAGCATGACTGATTAGGTCAAAGCTCTTGGGAGTTTGAGTTTGGGTCCCATGTACCTTGTTGGTGGAAAAAATGGAAGCTCTTTTCTGCACATTTTCTCCTCTCTTTGGCTGAGGAACACAATTTTGTAGTGCCACTTTCTTTTCTGCCTGTTCCTTGGCTTCAAGGGGAGTTACCACCTCTGTTCAGTCAGAAGTAACTTTGATGCTCTGTCATCTGTGTTAATTTATTACTAAATCAACATGCTGAATTTAGACTCATTCCCTGGATTTGCATAGGATATGAGAAATGAACTGTTTTCTCTACATATTTATTCAGAATTAATTATTTCAGCTTTGAGAATTAACTACTCATGGAGTATAGAACTTAAAATGAACTCTTTTTCCATGTGGGGGGACTGATCGATAAAAGATGATCTGGATGGAATTTTCATGGCCACTGGCCTTATATTGTAAATCTCATCATATAACATTCTTTGCATTCTAAAAATCTTGCTAAGATTCCAGTCAGATACTTATATTTTTCTGTTTATAAATTGAATCAACTCTTAAGCTTTTGCTCTTTAGAGAAACATACATATGTGTACATGCGCTGTGGAAATTGCCAGATTGAGGGCCTGCTGAATAGGAGAATTTGTCCATTTGACTTTTGTCTTATTATTATTCCCTTATTACCTAGGTTCTCTTAGATTTGAGGTTCTAGTTTTAAGACTATTCAGCCATGAGACTTGATCCCCAGTTGGGACTACAAATTAGGAGTTCATCTTGTATAATTTTATTAAATTCATTTTTATATGTGTTTTTTTCGGGGGAGGGTGAGGGGGTGTACCAGGGATTGAACTCAGGGGCATTCGACCACTGAGCCATATTCCTAGCCCTATTTTGTATTTAATTTAGAGATAGGGTCTCACTGAATTGCTTAGTGCCTTGCTTTTGCTGAGGGTGGATTTGAACTCTTGATCCTTCTGCCTCAGCCTCCCAAGCTGCTGGGATTATAGGCGTGCGGCACCCAGCTCCTTTTTACATTTTATACTTTGGCTATTTTTTAATATTGTGGTAAAACATATTTAAAATTTACTGTATTTACCATTTAAACCACTTTTAAGTATTCTGTTGGCCATTTGATTTTTAGAATTTTTATTTTTGTGGTGCTGGGGATGGAACTCCAGGGCCTCATTCATGCCAAGAAAGTGTTCTCCCACTGAATCATTATCCCCAGCTCACTAAATTTTTTATTCTAGTCAATATGTACCTGACAAGCATCAAGGATATGCCTTGTGCTGATGTTGGTAGATCATGGGAAAATTGTGAAAGAAGTATAAATAAATATGGTTCTTGTTCTCAGGATCCCTGTTCTTAATTTCAGGAGATTAAGCTTTATTAGGAAAACAAGATATATGTACACCAGTTAAGTAATGACTCATGGTAGATAAGGCCTTAGATGTTTGAAAGGTTTATGTAAAGATGAAACTCTACTTGGTCCTTTAACAGGGGCAGGATCTGTGGTAGTACAAGAGAAAGGAGAAAGTGGGGAACAGTGAGGAACTAAAACAGTATATAAGCTATTTCATTGTTAAGTCTATCATCTTTCAGAGAATCTTTTTTTTCACCCCAGATTTAAGTTCTCAGTCTATTGTTTTTAAAAATAAACTAAAAATTTGGATGAGGGAGCACAATATTGGTACATAATTTATATTTTTAAAAGTCTCAGAAACTGAGCTGGGATTGTGGTTCAGTTGTAGAGCGCTCACCTAGCACATACAAGGCCCTGGGTTCAATTCTCAGCACCATATAAAAATAAATAAATAAAGGTATTGTGTCCAACTACAAATATATTTTTTAAAAAGTCTCAGACACCAATTTATTTAACTTGTGATATAGATAGTATTAAAAATAGTATAGATAGTATTAAAAATCCAGATATGTAGTAGAAGAAGGGTTAAACTTCCTATTAAAATTCTGTGCAAATATCTATGTTCATGCAGCATTAAACTTTTCAATATATTATCACTTGGGAGTAGGTATTTCATTAGTGAATTTAGAACAATTGCAGTTATCATTTTCATGAAAAATAATTTTATAAAAATCAGCATGTGATAAAACATTTATTGAAATTAATCTTGAATGTCTGCTACTCTGAGAGCAGGTAAAAATATTTAGAGTGGTGTGTATTATGGATAAAGAGTGAATTTTGATTAATTTCTGAATAATCTTGTGCTAATGCTCAATGACACATGGTGCCCATTTTGTTTGTAATGGGTCATGGATTTCATCTGGGTTAAACGTAATGTCTTTCAGACAATAAGAAGTACAAAGTTAAAAGCACATTTTCTCTTTTCATTTCTGCAGGCAGCCAAATGTACATTGGGGACCACCATGTTCACGTGACATCAAGAGGAAACGGAAACCTGTGGCTGCAGCATCTCTATCTAGCCCCAGTGCAGGTGATTATATGTAGTTACCAGTTATTGAGTACCTTCTGTGTTTCAGGGACTAAATTATATTATGTGTTTCATATACCTTTTTGTGTAATCTTTACAAATTAGGTAGGTCATTTTATTCCCATTTTACATAGGAAAACAGATTGTGAGAAGTAATCTGCCCCATTCTCTCTAATCCCAAAGTCTGTACCTTTCACTTTGTCATGTGGCTTTCTAGATTTTGAAACCTTATATTCCACTATTAGCAGTCTTCAGTTATCTGACTCTTGTTCTGGCATAGACAGGAAATTGGGTTCATGTTAATGAAAATCCATTTGGGGTGGCAGTTTGTAAGTAGCCAGGGAATTGTGGTTTCATTTACATTCTTATTTTTGTGTGTAGTGTGATACAGTCTTACTATCTTTATGTATAGTAGAGTGGTAGTATTTTACAAGTCATGAAATTTTTAATAAAAAAACAATTTTTTCAGGTTAAAACTTTTTAGTTTGCTGTTCAAAACTAATACTAGTTGGTAGGAGCCAAAATAGTGGTTATATTTGGTGTGGGAGGTAATGACCAAGAAAGGATACCAAAAAACCTGGGATGCTGGAAATGCTACATATCATGAACCAGGTAGGGATTACCTGGATATTTATATATCTGCATAATTTCTGTGAAGATTATTGAGCTAGACATTTAAGATTTATGTAATTCACTACATGCATATTGTTAAAAATGTCAGATATTAAGATACTTGGGAGACTGAGGTAGAAGGATTGCAAGTTTAAGGCCAGCCTGGGCAATTTAGTGATACCCTATCTCAAAATAAAATTTAAAAGAAAGGCTGGGAATGTAGCTCAGTGGTAGAGCGTTGCCTACCACATGTAAGGACCTGGGTTCAAATCCAGTACTGTTAAAAATATACATTGGATATTGAGCACATAATAAATTGTTTTATTCTCCTTAGAAAATACAGATTGAACACCCCAAATTCAAAAATCTGAAATCTGAAATGCTCCAAAAACTGAAACTTTTCTTTTTCTTTTTTTTTAATTGGTTGTTCAAAACATTACAAAGCTCTTGACATATCATATTTCATACATTTGATTCAAGTGGGTTATGAACTCCCATTTTTACCCCGTATACAGATTGCAGAATCACATCGGTTACACATCCACGTTTTTACATATTGCCATACTAGTGACTGTTGTATTCTGCTATCTTTCCTATCCTCTACTATCCCCCCTCCCCTCCCCTCCCATCTTCTCTCTCTACCCCATCTACTGTAATTCATTTCTCTCCCTTGATTTTTTTTTCCCTTTTCCCTTACATCTTCTTATATGTAATTTTGTATAACAATGAGGGTCTCCCTCCATTTCCATGCAATTTCCCTTCTCTCTCCCTTTCCCTACCACCTCTCGTCCCTGTTTAATGTTAATCTTTTTCTCATGCTCTTCCTCCCTGCTCTGTTTTTAGTTGCTCTCCTTATATCAAAGAAGACATTTGGCATTTGTTTTTTAGGGATTGGCTAGCTTCACTTAGCATAATCTGCTCTAATGCCATCCATTTCCCTGCAAATGCCATGATTTTGTCATTTTTTAGTGCTGAGTAATACTCCATTGTGTATAAATGCCACATTTTTTTGATCCATTCATCTATTGAAGGGCATCTAAGTTGGTTCCACAGTCTAGCTGTTGTGAATTGTGCTGCTATGAACATCGATGTAGCAGTATCCCTATAGTACGCTCTTTTAAGGTCTTCAGGGAATAGTCTGAGAAGGGCAATAGCTGGGTCAAATGGGGTTCTATTCCCAGCTTTCCCAGGAATCTCCATACTGTGCTTTCCAAATTGGCCAAAAATCTGAAACTTTTCTGAGCATTGACGTGATACACCATACATGTGACAGGTTGCAGCCAAAATGCAGATGCAGTAAAAATATTGTATAAAATTACTTTTAGGCTATGCATATAAAGTGTTCATGAAATAAAAATGAATTTTGTTGTTTGAACTTGGGTTCCACCCTAAATGTTCCATATATGCAAATGTTCCAAAATCTGAAAAAAAAAGTCTCAAATCGGAAACACTCTGGTCCCAGCATCTTTAGAAAGGGATACTCAGTCTGTACCATACAAGTATAGCATGATTGACAGCTGAATGAAGAGTAAACCTTAGGCAGGTATGGAATTCTACCTGCCTGCCTTTACTTAGTGAGTTTCAGCATACTCTGGTATCAACCTCTTTGAGCTTCTGTTTGAGATGATTACCTGTTGGTGGTTCATATAGGACAATCTTAAATTATAGGTTTAATGATTATGATAAGTTTATATAGTGCTTTTCATATGGCCATATGGCCAGGCCCTTTGCATGCATTATTTCATTTAAACTATGCAACATCTTCATAAGATAGATGCTATTTTTATTCCCATTTATACATGAGAAAACTGAGGCTTAAATCACTTCTGCAAGTTCACGTGATTGATTAATATTAGAGTCTAGCGCCTATAGAGCTGCCCTCTAAACACGGTGGATGTTCTGGTTTTTAATATACGGCAGGATTGGTTCCAGATTGTGACCCTGCATCAAAACCCATGTCCTCATCCAGTCTGTGGTATTTGAAGTATTAAACAAAACTTCCTCTCTTATCTTTTTTTCTCCTTAATATCAACTTCTTTTTTTTAGCTTTTAATTCTTTATAAAAACAGAGCCATTGGGATGAGTATAAAATACTTATTCCATATTCAAATCAGGAAATGTAGTGGGGGAATTAAACAAGACCTTAGTGTTAAACATTTCCCCTACTGAACCCAACTGCTCTCATCTCACTTGTTGACTAAGCCCTGCTTCACTGAGCATTTTTTTTTTTCTACCTACAACCTGAGTGCCCCATGGAGGTGAAGGACATAGCCCAAGCCTGCGCCATCAGTCAGTAGAACAAATGGGCTTGCTCTGCCTAACATCGGGCCATCTCGGATTCCACCTCTTTTATAGAAATGAGTGATGAAGAGAGGTGCGTCCTGCTTTGCCGCTGTATTAATACACATCAGGGGCCAGCTCCTGGCACTAAATCACGCTCCTGCATACATCTGTTATCGGACTCTTCACCAGTGTGATGAACAAGACTGCAGATAGAGGCTTCCTTGTGTCATTCTTTATAGGATTTTCCTAAAAGAATAAATAGCTCAGATCTCTGCCAACACTCTCCCCTGTCATTGTGATGAATTCAGCTTCTTTCTTAAACATGCAGCCACAAATCTTTTCTCTTTCCTCCCTCCCCCACTGGTAGAAAGTTTTGAGTTGAAATTGACTGAATTTAAAGATATTAATAAGGCTATAGAGGTAAAGAGTGAGAAGGAACAATGAGTCTTCTTTGTCTTTTTGTCTAATAGAAACAAAAGGCCATGAAAAGGCCCCTTTCATAATGCTATTTATGTAGAACCTTCTTGAAAGAGCAGCACCTTTATTTTCTTCTTTTTAATCTCCCCCCACCCCTTTATTGCATGCAGGTATCTAGTGCACAGAGCCATACCCTGGACCTTAGTGAGTAAGCATGCAAACCTGCTTCCAAGACTGATACCCAGGATAGGGATTGCCCAGCAAGTCTGTATCTCATGTTAAAGTGAACTTCTGAATATGCTCTTAAGAGTGTACTTGGAAAAGAAAAAAAAAAGATTATTTTCTCCCAAATTTGAGACTAAGTAGCTTAAAGGAACATAACTTGGTTGAAAACCAGGCTTCATTTCCTTGAAATTATTTTCTTTATCAGAGTAGTAAATCAGAGCTGCTGGCATGCAAATTCCATTTCTTCACAAAGTAAACACATGGTGCCCACCCCCTCCCCTTTTTCTAGTGCTGGGGATTGAACCCAGGGAAGCAAGAGAATAGGCAGTTATTGCTTAATGGTTGCAGAGTTGCCGTTTGAGATTTCTGGCAATGTAGATGCAGTGATGGTATAAAATGAACTTAATACTACTAAACTCTGCTTAAAAATGGTTAAGACAGTAAATATTATGAATATTTTATCATAATAAAAAAATGACAATTGGGGGCTAGGGCTGGGGCTCAGTGGTAGAGCACTTGCCTCACATATGTGAGGTACTGCCTTCAATCCTCAGTACCAGGGTTGGGTAGAATGCTGGCCTAGCGTGGGTGAGGCCCTGCCTGAATTTAATCCCCACTTCTGCAAAAAATTTTAAATTAAAATTTTAAAAGGGAACACACACACACACACACACACACAAAAACACCAATTTTTTTTGAGGGTTAATGTTTCACTGTGGTGAATTTTATGTTCTGTTAAATATGAATATGTATGCATGAGTTTGTGTGTGGGGGTGTGTGTGTTAGAGTGAGAGAGAGACATAAAGATAGATTTGAACTGTTCATATGTATTTCTTGCTGCTATGGTTGAGATTCCAAATACATTTTACACAGTCATTGATTTTAAAAACTTTTATGTATGTGCTGTAAAGTAAGAGCTTTCAAGATGCTTTTATATTTATTGACTGTAGTAAAAAATTTGTGTTTGAATATGTTTGTGATGTACATGTAAATCTGAAATAAATTCAGGGTATGTTCTGATATTTTCTTTTTTTTCACTGAGGAAAGAAAAAGGGAATACTAGTCATGACCCATTAAGTTAATTTTTCGATTCACATTTGAAAATTACTATTCTAGGTTACATTTCTGAGAGTAGGATTATTGAGTGATAGGGTAAAATTTAAACTTTACTGTATTTTTTTATATTTGTTCTCAATGGAGTGAGTGGTAGCCTGAGGTATGGCATAAAGAGCACAGGATGTAGATCAAGTATCTGTTGCTACTTAACCAGTTTTGTTGAATTACTGAACAAGTTATGTGATCTCTCCATGCCTCAGTTTCTTGATCCAGAAAATGGAAGTGATTATTTATACTTCTGAGAGTTTGCATTAAGAAATAGGGTCATGAGTGTTCAGTATTTAGAGATATATAGTGCCTGGCACTTAAGTGTTCAATAAGTGATGTTTACTACACTATGAATCTGTACTGCCCAATTTATTAATTGGTTCAGTTAAACCCATTTTTCTTTTCAGGTTTTACTTGCCTTTTGGTTTCCATAAAGAAAAAAGAGCCGGTTACCTTGGCACATGCCTGTAATATCAGCTACTTGAAACCAAAAGGCTGAGACAGAAGCATCACAAGACTGAGGCCAGCCTCAGCAAGTTAGGCTGTGTTTCAAAATGGAATGAATGTACATATGCATGAATTGAGTGAGTGAATGAATGAAGGAAAAAACTTTATGGGGCCACTTGGTTAACAGGACACGAAATGTAAGGATTAAAAAAATTTTATTTCCAAATATTTTTCATTCTGATTTCTCATTCTGTTTTGTCTCCCCTTGATTGTTTTCCTTGTTGCTTTTATTGTTGCACCCAGTTCACTTGGATGTGATGGAGCCAGCCACACCAGCAGCACAAGCCCAGAAGACTCCACACCCTGAGTGGTTGGTCAGGACCTCTGCCACAGAGAAAGCCACTGACTCAATTACAGCTACATTTTTTAAAATGCCACAAGAAAAGAGTCCTGGATGCAGCTAGAGAGCACTGTTCACCCACCTGGAGCTGACTTGGTGTTGAAAGAAGCATTAGCCTTCCTAACGTGTAGTCCTTTCCAGTCTTTTTATCACCGGGATGGACGACTCCTCACACAGCTGCAAACTCTTAGAAAATCATGTTGTGGGAATCTTTTTTTTTTTAAGCTAGTGAAGTATTGAGGCAACAATGTAAAGAGAAAAAAAAGAAAAAAAAAAAGGTCATCCTATTATGCCCCATCTGGTACATTATTGCTATCCCACCATTTACCTATAGCTCCATTTACAGAGCTGTTGCCTTTTTTGCAGGTATGTCTTTGTTCTTGAAAAACTGATAACTGCTTTTGCATACCTTTTGTGAAGAGCTTTTAATATCACTTGATGAAGTCCCAAATTTGCAGCCAGTTCCACATTCCTGAATGGAATTGTGTTTGCAGGAGATTAGGTTCACCTTGGAGCCAGGTCTTGATTCATTCAGCGTGCCAATAAGCTGTATGTGTCATGTTCTAAAAAGAGACACCAGCAGTGTGGCCGTTGGGAACTTCAGTTTTTCTGCAGATGATCTAATGGGATCAGCAGCAGCTGCATGGTACTTCACCTCATCTTCAAAGTTTATGTTTTAGTGAAAGAGGACGTATCCATACTTAAAGATGAGGAAGATGGTTTAGGTATACAGCAAACTTAAAATAGTCATGAATTGTGTCTGCTTCATGTTACAGTGTAAGCCTTTATGTTCTAAGTTGGACTTTATTGCTAGTGTTATAAGTCAGTAACCTATAGCAGAAATTTATACTCTATTATAATTATGGCTTTTCGGGGCCATGCTTTGGTGAGAAAAAGAGTCTTTTTGACATACCTTTATAGTTGGCGTGTTTATGACGGCTCAGCTGCATGCAGAGGTAGATATACAGTCGTGCCTGAAGTTGGAAGCTACTTTGTCAAAATGAGGAATAAGTGATTGCCTGGAGCTGCTGGAGAAAAGCCACACTTTCTCAAAAAGTATTATCAAGAGTGTCATTCAGGGGCCTGGTTGACAGAAGGGCTCTTTTTTTTGTACGAATTGAGTGTTTTTACTCTGAAATACATGGAGACTGTTTGTTAAATGCTCACCACTATGGTCACATGGGAGAGGAGCATCCATCCACCCCAGCACCTGGATATTTTCTGTCTTAAAAAGAGGTGCTGAGTGGAGCAGCACCTCCTTCCCCCAAAGTGTGATTCTCTCTTCCTCCCACACAGAATGTAATAGTGGGTTGTTTTATTGTGTACCCTTTAAAAATTGTTGTTCTTATCAGTAGAAACTCTTGGTGAATGAGGTGGGCAGGTGGACAGGTATGAATCTAGTTGAAAAGGGGAACTTGAAGATGAGTTTACATAGCACTTTATGTAAGACTGAGAACATGACAGTTAACCATAACAAGGAAAATGAGGGAGGGGCTGGTGGAGTTCTTGGAATGACTGAAGCCAGCCCAGCACCCTGGGAATCATCCCTGGCTCTCAGGCAGGAGTGAGTGTACCGACAGAAGTCTAAGGCTATACTCAAGAAATATAGAGAATGTAATGTCTGTTGGATATAAAATGGCACTGCTGAATTTTCTTAATGAAGAAGGTAGGTTTTGTGGCCGTGTGCAGTCTCCCCATAGTGGCCAGAGGCACATTAATCCAACCTACATAGTTTGATTTAAGGGAGAAATCTGTGGATATAACTTTTTTGTTAGTGCCAAGCTCTGTGATTCATGCAGAGATTGGTCATGTCATGACCTGGTAAGACCTCTACAGTTCAGGTGCAAAGGTGTTCCAGCATCTTTTTTTAATGACATGTTGCCTACCTTTCTACCTATGATTTAAAATAATTTATATATGCAGCCTTATTTACATTTTAAACATCTCTGTGAAGTTATGCCATTTTACAGAGATGAAAACAGTCATGGAGTTGAGTGACTTGCCTATCACATGACTAAGTCAGGACTAAAATTCCATAGTTTCAGACTTTTCTCCCTTGGGTTATAATCTGTTTTTTCCTTTGTAGACCCAAATAATCAGTCTTAGACCCATGTTTATGAAACAGTTTGCCATGAATGTTTATTATCTTTCTTGGGCATGCTTTGCTATACAGTTTGAATACTTTCAACAGCACTCACTCAAGAATGCAACATCTACCTGTAATAAATGGGAAGATAAAATTAGTTGACTGTGAGAATAGAAATTTAAGCACACAAATACTTTCCAGTACAGGGTGGCAAATTGTGCTTCTCATTTTAAGGTGCTGAATGTTCATGCAAAATTATTAATCAACTTATTCTGCTTGTTTTTTTGTATTAACCAATGCCAGAGGCTTGCCATGGAATCAAGTGTATTTTAAATCTTAAATTTTAATATATAATGTTATAAATTAAGACTAATCTGTTGCCTTTTGAGAAAAGATGTAGTTTCAAAATCAGATTTTGTAATCAGTTTTGAAAAAAAAATGAAAGCAGAACATACTTTGAGAATAATCATGAGCTCACATGTTTGATCTGATCAAAAGTATAACTGAAGCTGAGTTTCATGGTTTTTATTTCTGGGTCTGGCTACACAAATTCTCTGAACTCTGCTCTTATGTGTGTTCCACAATGGGCAGAAGTCAAGACATTATCCACTTGCATGAGGACCATTCATAAAAAAGTAAGTTTTACTTATGAGTTTAGGGGAATTTCACATTGTTTCTCCGATGCAATATTTTAAAGGAAAAACTTAATTTTTGTCAAAACTCTGTTTCACTTTTTGGTAAGGCTTGATGAGAAGAGGAAATTAGTAGCTGTTTACATGTTTCCAAATGTGGAGGAGGCAGAATATAATTTTTACTGAGTGGTAGGTGGTTGGAAAATAGGCCACATTTAGCCTTGAGTTTTTTAGAAATCAATTTCAGTTACAGATTTCAGATAATACTGTTTTTTGGGGCTGTGAAATAGGCTCCAAGCAAGCTAGTTCTTGCAGCCAAATGACCCAAAGCTGAAGTAAAGCTTAATCTGCTGTGCTTGTGGTTGGCATACTTTGTTAAGTAAAGCTCAACACCTAGAACAGTAATTATACTAGTTAAGAATCTCAGATAGTTTAATCTGACATAGCTCTGCATTTCGGGATTAGAGATGCTATGCACATAGCTATATATCATTCTCCCTTGGCCCAGAAAGTTCTGATGCTGCTGAGTTATCCCTGAAGCCACTTGGAGTTGAGAAAGCAAGTGTTGCAACAAAGGAGCTAGACTGGTTCAGTCTTCGCTGATGTGCTGGGTGCTTCACTTGGGCTCTGGGTGAAGGTTCCTGGTGATGCATGATTCATTTTAGGTCTTTGCTTTCTTTGGTTTTCATTACTGTGGTTCCAAGCCACAGTTTCCTACCCCCACTTCCTGGGGGTGAAGGCCGTGTGAAAGTCTCCACATTAGAAGCTATATGCAGTGTCCCGTGTCTTGTGAATCTTACCTGAGCTGAGAGCAGAGTGGCTTACACTAGCAGCTGTGGATGCAATCTGGTTGAGATATAGTTTAGATGGGTCATGGGTTGTGGGATGGTGGCGGGGATAATTTGCTCTTGTCGGCTGCTTTCTTTGCTGATGCTTGAGCTGCCAATTTTACTTGTCAGTATTTCCTTATCTCTTATTCCTCTTAGCAGAATTACTCTTGCAGGCAATGGTCAGTGGAGTTCCTAATCCATCAGAAAACTACAATAGAGGGGCTGAGGTTGGGGCTCACTGGTAGAGCACTCGCCTAGCATGTGTGAGGCACTGGGTTTGATCCTCAGCACCACATAGAAATGAATAAATAAAATAAAGGTATTGTGTCCAAGTATAACTAAAATAATATTTTAAAAAAATAAAAAGAAAAGAAAACTACAATAGAAGGCAAAGGTGAGGAAAATGTTAAGTTCTACCACCAGGCACTAAACAAAGGACACAGATGTGTTCTCCTGGAAACATCACTATGATAGCAAAATAAAGATGATGAGCAATGTTGTTGGAGTGTGGATTATAAGATTTTTAATAAGCCAGGTAAAACAGATTATGGTCAAAAGAAAAAAATTTTGTGTAAATCATTTAGCACAATGGTCAGATTTGGTGACTAAGAAATTTCTAAAGTATAGTATTGGAAGATCCTGATGTAATATTAAAACATTCTTATATTCACTGACCATCTCATCTTGGCGCGATAAAGATGTGGGAAGGCAAAAGGAGAAGGGGAGATGCATAGAGCAGAGGTTTCAGAGTATGGTCCCTAGATTTTGTTTTCATTGGCAGACCTACTGAATCAAAAACAGGATTAGCCCAGCAAGCCTTTAGCTTGCCTTCCTGTGCATGCCAACATCTGAGAACCACAGGCTTTGCCACAATGAAATGTTTTAAATGGTGCCTAAGCTCTGAGGCGCTCTTTTCTTCCCTGTATAAGTAAAGGGATGTTTTGTGTATGCTGCTTTGCAGAAATTATTCATGTCTTCATTTCCCATGTTTTTTCCTCCACGAGCACTTGAAAGATTGGAAATATCGAGAAAGGATGATATGGAGGAGAATGGCATCAAGGCCATATTCAGGTGGACGGAAATAACCTTTTTTAAATGGGTATAAATATAGCAGTAGATTTTTAGCCTTTGAATGATAGTCATTTTCACAATTCATAGTAAAAACATTATTTGTATAAGATACTACCACTTATTGGTTTAACATATTTGTTCATTAAATCTTAGTTTCAAGGGAATATCACGTATCCAGCATGATAATGATGAATCCTTTAAAGTGTGGCTTATAAAAATGAAAAAGTTGGCTGGGTGTGGTGGTGCATGCCTGTATCTCAGTGACTCAGAACACTGAGTCAGGAGGATAGCAAGTTCAAAGCCAGACTTAACAAAGGACTGAGGATGTGGCTTCCTAGTTAAGTGCCCCTGGGTTCAATCCTTGGTACCAAAAAAAAAAAAAAAAAAAGAAAAAGAAAAAAAAAAAAGGAAGGAAAAAACTCCTAGGGTACATTGCATACATATAATCAATATCTGTTCAGTTTTTGGTAATCATCTGCTAATGCTTTATCTCAGTACCTCAGAGCATACAAAAATGAGTTTTCCACAATTCCATTAACATTCTTTTGTCTTTGTTTTACATTGCAGCTAGTTGAGTCTTCAGGGGTTGGAAACTTAACAGCAATATCATGCTATTTCTGTTGTCTGACTCTGGATTCAACATTTCAGAATGATACTGTAATCTTAAAGCTTCGAAAAGACTTAATGACCATTTTTCTATTTTATTTTTAGTAATTAGGCTGGATCCTAGCTTGTTGCCAAAGCCTAGGAAACCGAGTCCCCTTTCAGAAGATAATGTGTGGCTAAGGAGTTCTTGTATTTGCAGAGATGTACTAGGAGTTCTGTAATATGTTTCCTTAGGTGTTTATGATGAGTTGTTTAAATGTCATTTCAATTGTTGCAGTCTACACCAATTTTTCTTTTCCTCCTTAAAGATCAGTTAAAACTACCTCTGGCCAGAAATACTCAGTTTTACTAGAAATTATCAAGAAGCCCCTTATGATATGAATTATGTAGATTAATGTTTTCATTCTCTGAAAGTTGTGACCCTTGCAGCCTGTTCAGTCAAATATTTTTCATTGGAAAAGTGAAAGCAAATATTAGAAAACTTTAAAATGGCCGTGGTAGGTTTAACTTAAAATCAACCTGCTTTGCTGTGTATAGATTCTATATCTTGTTCCTCCTGGTAGTCCATGGAAGAAATTTTATGACCAAGCAAACTGATGCCGCCCCCAAATCATGGTGATTGAGATTGGATTGCTCCGTTTTTAATCTCAGTCAACCCCTCTCCTGTTGGTAGGAGCTTTTACACAGCCATTCCAAATCCTGGTTACCTCCACCTTCTCTGAGGCAGCACTAGGCAGCGCTTCTTGCTCACTCGTCCTCCCATGCACATGTCTTCGCCTGTTCTTACAAGTGCCCATCTTGCCCAGGAGAACCCTTTTCTACCCCTTGCACTCTCACTCTGGCTACAGCCTCTCCACTCACACACAGCTTTACATTCTAATGTGTTAAAAGACTCTCTTCAAACAAAAATTCCTCAGCTCTGAACCCCTGCTACCATTGAAGACCACGGAAGTATACCACCCTTACCTGTGAGTCCACTCATTCTGCAGTCCACTGAAGCAGTGGGTTTTTTTAACCCCAGGTGCATATGGGGATCACCTGGAGAGCATTAATAAAAGCTGAATTCCCCAACTGGACCAATTATATCAGAGAAAGAGGGAACAGACTATTCTTTTAAAAACTGCAGCAAGGGCCGAGAACTACTATAAAACCTGCCTGTTACCCTTGTCACCATTGAAGTTGTTCTTGCTGGGTTCAGCAGTAACTTTTCACTGTGAATATTTAGTCCTTGGGTTGATCTTTATGATGCTGGTGGTGTTAGACTACTTTCTTTATCGGGAGCAAGGTCAGAAAAGGAAGAATTTTAGAAGGAAGTGGTTTGCACTTTCTCCGATTTGCACAAGCAGGCAGATTGGTTGGTAGGTGAGTCCAGCACAGACTGGATGTCTTGTCTCTGATTCTACCTGTTATTTTAATTGATGTCCATAGGCTAATGAATTCCTTTGCCCTACCACCTTAGTGCATCAACTTAAAGCATGGGTTTAGAATGAGGCACTTAGATTCATTAATAATTATTGTAAGCTTTGAGGAAAGCATATTCAGGGTCTCCTATGCTTCTTTACAAGTGCCCATCCTGCCCAGGAGTTTCTCCAAATCATAAGGTAGGATTTGCTAATCAGATTAGAATCTAAGAGATTACCCTGTAGACTAGAGGGTAGAGCTGCTGTTCATGAAAAGTCAGGCTTGAACAGTACCATCCCCCATCACATGCTCTTTTCACTTGTGACTTACTGGGGTTTTAGACACTGGCCCTCCCTCTTGGCCATCTCTGCATGCTGCCCTGGACATGTAGGGGTTCCATTCAGAAGGGACCTTATGTGTACCTGGCTCCTTCAAATTACTAATTTCTAATTCAATATCTAGGGTAGGTGGGTCTGCTTAGTAGTCATGTCCTAGCCGTAGAAAGTGAGAAGCCTTCTGCAGTGTTTAACTTCCACTGGGGATGGGAAACTAGCACTAAACACAGGAAGGTACCTCACATGCGGGACAGCCAAATAAAACGGGTCCACTGGAGTCATTGCCCTAGTCCCTCATTTAGCTGAACACTGGCACTAATCCAATCCTCCTCAGGAACCTCTTAGGGAAGGGAGTAGCTGCCCCAGAGGGGAATATTCTAGGGTCCCTTAGATATATGCCTTTGAAACCACTAGAACCTATCTGCTGTCCTTAATAATGATAATGGAGAATATTTACCAAGTGATTATTATATGCCATCTATAAGCATTTCATTTATTTCTCAACAACTAAGGTTGGTACTTATCCATTTTAAAGTAAGGAAATAGTTACAGATTAACTTGCTCAAAGTCGTAGTTATGAAGTGTCTACCTGGATTCAAGCTCATCTGTTTGATATTAGAGTGACTGATCCCAACCAGTACCTATGCTGCCTCTTCACAATACAAATGAACTGTTGGAGGCCATACGTGGAAGAAATGCACTGTGGGTCATGGGCCCAGGGCCAGGTGTCTATTGAAACCCCTTAAACCTTTGGCTTGTTGCTCCTGGTAGGCTATGTATCCGCTAATTGTGAGTGGATTCATTCTCTCTGTCTACATCATTGAAAGGAAATAGACAATTTCTGGGACATTGTCTTATTACAACCCATTTTTTTTTTTGTTTGTTTGTTTCAAAGGTGGCCAGAGCAAAGGAAAAGACAATAAAATCAAGTCTGTGGCAATAAAAAAGTACTGCCCTGTGCTGGGTGTAGTGGTGCACACTTGTAACCTTAGTATCGTGTGAGGCTGAGGTAGGAGGATTGTGAGTTCAAAGCCAACCTCAGCAACTTAGGGAGACACTGAAAAACAGAAAAGAGAAGTATTGTCCTTTGTGTACTAAGGTTCAACAGATTTCTCAGCCAGAACGACATGTATTTCAAGTTGTTAATGGTAGTGATGGACTGTTAAAAAACATCTTGCTAGACATCTCTTTGCTAGCAAAACAGCTGTCTTAAAGTCTTGGCTTTTAGGAATGCTCTTTATTCAGTGGATGTGTGAAGAATACATTTTATGCCAAACCATACATAATAGGAGCTGAGTACTGTGGAATTCCTGCTTTCATAAAGTTCATAGTCTGATGAGGAAGAGAGTAGAAAAACAAGTATTATGTTGGGGGTTTGTGTGGGAGGAGAATATCAGTATTTTGGCAGTGCAGTTGAGGGCACTTTAATTAAAACTGGGCAGAAGAAGGAGTCAAAAAAACATGACTCTGAGTCTCGAGCAACGAACAGGAGTTAAATGGAGAAGTTGAAGTCTTCCGAGGGTGGAAGCATGCTTTGTTCAGAGCACAGCACATGTTTTGGTGTGGCCAGTATATAAAGCAGGGAGAGGTAGAAGGAACGATGGGCCCTTGTGCTTGAGGTAGATGGTAGTGGCGGGCTGGCTTGTTGATTTGGAGAGCTGTGGTATTTCAGCTGAGTTCAGCTGTGGTTATGGAAACCCTGCTACTGCTTGGCCATTGTGCAAAGCTGGAACTGAGAACTGAACAGGTTTGCATTCCCTTGATCAACTTCCCTGGGAAATAGAACCAGCCCACCTATTGGTAGGAACTACTGATATGTTTAAGATTGAAATGAATTGGGAATAAGATTTATCCCATGACTTGTCTGATTGCCTTACATATTCTAGCATGATACTAGTCTGAGATTATTCCCTTGGAACCACGTACTTGTTTTGGTAGAATTTAATGTACATTGTGATGGTCCTTGTTCCTATACTGTTCTTCAGTAACAAAGTTGTTACTAACTATCTGTAAAGCATTTTTAGTTTGTTTCTCAGTAGTGACAATAAATTTGTGTTGATCCATTTAAACCTTTTCAGTCATTGATATTTTAAGCCTGCATAAAGTACTCCATCCATAGAGTAAAACCAATTCAGCTGGCCCACACTAATCTCTGAACCCTTAATTTCTACCTCGTTAGTACCATGCTGTAAGCAAAGTTTTCTAAGTCCTCTAGAACTAAAAGTGAAATAAGTGTGTTTTTAGTCATTATTTTTGCTGAACAGCTTCTGATTGACCAGCATTTAAATTAGCAGCTTTTGTATATAGAAATAGGAAAATGACTTTTATGCCCCATTATTAAGATAGTAGGGAGAATAAATAATCATTGCTTATAGTAGGGAATTAAGAAATAGAGAATTTTAGGGGATTCTGTGAAAAAGCATTTAAAATAGTTTGCTAGAAGGAAAATTCAGACTGTTAATTATGAGAAAAAAAAACACATGTATACACAACCAAGCCACATAAGTTATTTTTTAAAACTAGAATAAGGCCAAACAAATCTGTCACATTAAAGTAAACTTACCAATAAGTAGAAGACAAAAATATCAAACATTAATTCCATGTTGTAAGATTCAGAATGGTTCAGAAAGGTTGAGCAAGATAAACCAATAAGAAAACCAGTGGTAGATTTTAATATCAGAAAAGGTTGAACTAAAGAAGAATTAAAAGAGAAAAAGAGCATTATATAATGTGAAAGAAGGCACTTAACACTGAAAATATAATAGATACCTGAATAAATAACAGAATAGCCATTCATATATTACCAACCATAGGAGATAAGGAAGAAACATACAATGTTAGAGATTTTAATGCAATCATCAATTCATGACAGATCAAGTGATAAAAACTAGAACATGGGAACATTTAAATAAAGTATTTTATATATTTAGACTGTGCCCTAAAACAGTGACTACACCTTATTTTCAAGTGTTCATGAACTTTTCCCCCTAATTTATTGTATATTGTATATACATAAATTCCAGAATGGAGAAGTAGTACCAATGGCATTTAGTGATATGAATGCAATAGAATATAACTGGAAAACAATGTCCATCTGCAATCTAAAGTGTTTTTAAGCTCTTGAACTTGGATTGAAGAGGAACTGCAAAGCATTAAAGAGCATTATTTTATACCTAAAAATACACTTGTTCCTATCAGATTCAAATGAAGCAGTGCCTAGAAGAAAATTCATAGCCCTAATATTGTGTACCAAAAAAATTAAAAATTTAAACACACTGCTCAAGATATTAGGAAAAAGATGCAAAATGACTCTTTTAAAAGACAAAAAGTAAAGATAAGAAATTAATTTTTTAAATGGGAAGATAGATTTTAATAGAGCTCATTTTAAAAAATATGTGATAAAATGATAACAGAACACAGGTGAAATAAGGTAGAACCATGAGACATTAAAATGGATTGAGTCATAAATTATACTTTGCCCAACTATATGCAAATAATTTTGAAAACTTGGGCTAGAGGATAATTTTTTAAGGAAAATATAATTTGCCAAAAATGACTTGGAAAGAGAGAAGTCTAATGTACTGATTATTATGAAAGAAATAAAAGTATTATTTGTATTAATATGACATACCTCAAATGACCCTCTCAAAAAAATACATACATATATATATATATATATATATATATATGGAAAAATTTTAAAAACTTTTTGTTGTATTAGTTTTCAGCAAGAAATAGAATTTATTTGAAAGATGTGTATTTTAGAGTCCAAGCAAAAGTTCAGTCAGTATTGAAGTAAGAACAGTTAAGGGAACATGAGCGGTGATGATTTATGGTCCTTCTCGTGTCCACATTAGTGTGACACAGAGCCTCCTCTTGACATTTCTTAAGCCCTTCTCCCAGCTTCTCCTAATGTTAACTACCCATGTTGCAGTTATCAAACTAGGAAATTAACATTGACACAATCCTATGAACTACATACTTTATTAGAATTCACCAGTTTTCTCACTAATGTTCTTTTTTTCTGGCTCAGGATTCAGTGCAAGATCCATATGTACTTGTGTTTTCTGGGATTGATATTCTGCTCCATGGTCTACTTGTCTACTTTTGACAGACCACACTGTTGAATTTTAGAGACTTTAATAATATGTTTTAATGACCAGTAGAGTTCATCCCATTTGTAATTTTTCTCTTTTAGTGTGTTCCTGCCTATTCTTACATGTTTATTTTTCCATATGAAATTTAGTATCAACTTGTCTGACTCCATTAAAATAAAGTGTGTTGGATTTTTATTGATATTGTTTTGCTGTTAACTAATTAAGGTGAACTGACCCCTTTGCCATGACCCCAAACACATCTCCAAGAACAGAGGATGTGTTTTCATTTGTTCAAGTCTATCTTTTTGGTAGTATTTTAAAATATCCCTTTTATAGGTGTTGTGCACTTCTAGTTAACTTTATCCCTGAATATTTAAGTCTCTTTATTTCTGGTAAGTGGGAGATTTTCTCTGCCTTTTTATTTTCTAACTGGTTATATAGGGAAAAAATATATATATATATATATATATATATATATATATATATATTATATAATGAATAATATTGATTTTTGTATCTAATTTTATACCCTGCCTCTTTACTAAATTGTTTTACTGTTTGGATTAGTTGTATCATTGATCCCCAGTGTTAATTTTTTTTTTTCCTAAGTGCACATAAGAAATGAAAGCATGGGAATGTGTCTTAGTGGAGAGTACTTGCCTAGCCTGTATAGGACTTTGGTTTGATCCCTAGTGCCACAAAAAAACAAATACACACACAAAAAGAAGAACTTCCACAGATAGTCATGTAGCATATAAATAACTGTTAAAAACCACAACCAAAGAAGGAAATATTATAGATATGACAGATTAAAATATTAATAAAATAATACCATGATCAACCTTACCCAATGAATTTGAAAACTTAGTGAAAGGGACAAATTCCCAGGCAAAAATATAGTTTACCAAAATTCAATCAGAAAGGAAAAGCTTGATCAGTCCTATAACATTAAACAAATCTAATCAGTAGTTTAAAAAATCTGGGACTGTGTAGAAAGATTTTAAGTGATCCTTAAAATATTATCAGTTCTTTTTCTGGAGCTGAACATTTATTGATGATAAGGTTCATTTGGTAGAACAAATGTGCAAGACTAGTACGAAACAGCCCTGAAAAGGCCTGGGAAGGGGAGGGCTTGTTCTATAATGTACTAAAGTGTGAAACCTGTAACTGAGTGTGATGTAGGCATAGAATAGATAGATGAATGGACCAAAAGAAGCAATTCAGAAATAGGCCCAATTGCATGTGAATATTCAGGATAAAATAAAAGTCCAAAGTCAATGGGGGAGAAGATAGACTATAAGAGAGAATGGTGTTGAGGTAATGGGATAGACTTCTATAGCTCTATAGAGATCTACAGCCACCTAGACAAAGTTAGATCTGTTTCTCATGCTATGACAGGATAATCTTCAATTGATTAGAGATTTGTACAGTTTTAACCACAGAAGTACTAGAGAAGAAACAGATGAATTCCTTAGTAACAGGGGTCAGTCAGCTATGGCCTGTGGGCCAAACTGTGCCCAAGGGACATTGTGAGCTGCTATGGTCTAAGAATGACTTTTGCACATTTAAATGATTCAGTAAAAGGAGGACATGAGACAGAGACATTGTATGGTTGCAAGCCCTAAAATATTTACTATCTGACCTATAAAAAAGAGATGATTCTGTAGCCGGGGAGTGGATCCCCCTCCCTCACACACACACACTTATTGTGAGCTATTGTGTAATAATGCCACCCAGCTCAGCTGATGGAGCTATGCTCCAGGGTCTCCTTCCCCTTGGGCGAGTTAGGAAATGGGCTCTGTAGCTTTGGTGTGGAAGGTATTGTAAATTCATATAGTTAAGGGTACAGATACAGGGGAGGGTGAGGGATTAGGGCCAAAATATAATCCCCTATACCAAATACTACTTAAAATGCAGATGCAATCAGATACATTTGACTTCATTCAAAAAAACAAAACAAAACAAAAAAAAAAAACTCTTACATGCACATATACTGTAAGCAAGACAAAATAAAGCTATAACTTATAAACATGTTTGCAATTTATGTCACAAATTATTGGCACATTATTCATATATAAAGATTCTTTTTATGGTCCTGGGGATTGAACCCAGCGGCCCTCTTAGCTACATCCTAGCCCTTTTAATTTTTTATTTTGAGTCAGGGTTTCACTAAGTTGCCCAGGCTGACCTGGAACTTAGGATCTTCCTGCCTCTGCCTCCTGAATCAGTGGGATTATAGACCTGCATCACTGTACCCAGTTTAATAACTTCCAAAAATAGAGGATATTCTATAGGGAAAAAATGGGGAAGAGATATGAACAGACTATTCATGGGAAAAAATGCAAATAATTCTTAAATCGATGCTCAACTTTCCATATAGTTAGTACAAAACCTAATGGGTGGATATTCTTATTATCCCCATTTTAAAAGAAACAGAGTCATAAGAGGTAAAGTGTTTTGCCTGAACACAAATAAATGGTGGTGCTAGGATCTGAACCAAGTCAGAAGGCTCTAGATAAAAGCAATTCACCATGACTAAGTGACGTTTATTTCAGGAATGCAAGGATCATTTAATATTAGGAATAGCTGGGTGTTTCCTTAATATAATAAAATATATTTATCTCAATCAGAAGTCAGCGTTGTGCTTAATTGAGAATACTAGAAGCAATTTCATTAAAGCCAGGAACAAGACAAAGATGTCCACTAATCATCACCATTATTTAAAATTGTTCTGCAGGTCTTAAAACAATTAGACAAGAGAAAGAAATTAAAAGGGAAGAGAGAATAAAATTATAATTTTCAGATGACATGATTAGATTGTTTACCTAGAACCTAAAGAGGACTAACCCAAAACTTACAATGTAAGAATTTAATAATTTTCAGAAATAAATAATTTTTGTATATACAACGTCCAATTCCATGCTGTATGGGAAGAAAATTTCTTTTTAAAATAGCGGAAGAAAGCTTAAAGAACAAAATTCTTAGAAATGAACTTACAGTATTTATAGACAACTTTAAAATGCAAATGAGGAACACAAAACAAGACCCCAAAAAATGGAAAGACATACCAGATTCTTACATAGGAATGATCAGTATCATGAGTATTAATTCCCTTTAGTTAATCTATAAATTTAATGAGGTCTCCAGTAAGTATACCAGTAGGAGTTTTTTTTTAAGTTATATAAGATGATTTTTATAGAAAAATAAATAAGTGTGAATAACCAAGATGGAGATGGTTAATAGACTAACTCTTCTAGACATTTAAATTGATAACACCTATAGCAACTAACACAGTGTGGTAATAACTTGTGACTAGACAGATGAGGAGAATAGAACAGTTCAGAAATAGATCTAAATACATATGGGAATTGAGGATATGATAAAGATAGCTTTTCAATGGGGCAGGGGGAGATTATTCAGTAAATTGGGTAAGGACCACTGTGTAGTGCTCTGCAAAATGGTTAATTTGGATCCATATATCACTCCTTACACCAAACAAACTGCATACAGACCAGACATTTAGACATTAAATGAAATTCAAAAAGCACTAGGAAAAAATGAAATTCTTTTATAACCTAAGATTTGGAAGCCCTGTGTGATGCAAAACCCAGAAGCCATAAAAGAAAACATAGCTGGATTAGATTTCATAAAAAAGTTTCTTCATGATAATAGTAAAATAAGCAAATGCAAATGAGAACCATGGAAAAATATTTGTAATTCCATCAAGATGAGCAGCTAATTTATCTAACATAGAAGAGCCCCACCAAATCAAAAAGAAATAGATAAGCAATCATATGTAAAATTGAGCCAAGAAAATTAATAGAGACATTTCATAGAAGAGATAATACAAATAACCCTTAAGCATATTAAAATGTTTAATAATAAGAGAAAACTTTTACCTATTAATAATAATAAAATTTGATAATGCACTATAATAGCAAGCATGTGGCTAAAACGTGTGAGGCCCTGGTTTTGATCCCCAGCACTGTGGATGAGAAAAAAGACATAACAAAACTTGAACAATTAAAAATGGCTAAAAAATCAGTTTGTTTCAAGAAGTAGAAGAAGAATAGCAGCAAATCCAGCAGTTGATTCTTTGAGATGACTAATAAAATTGGCAAGCCTCTAACAGAACTGATCAAAAACAATAATGGCAGACAGTGAAGAAAGCAAGCCACAGACTGGTAGAAAATATTTGCAAAAGATACTTCTTATAAAGGTCTATTATCCAAAACAGAATTTTTAGCAGGGCACAGTGACACATCCCTATAATCCCAGCTATTTTAAGAGGCTTGAGGCAGAAGGATCATGAATTCAAGTCTAACCTGGGCAACACAGTTAGACCTTGTCTAATAATAATAAATAATTATTAACAATAACAAATAAAAACAAAAGATGAAAGAGAACTCTTGAAACTCAACAATAAGAAAATAACCAGATATAAAAATGAGAAAAGATCTAAACAGACACTTCATTAAAAAGACATACAGATGGCAAATCAGTACATGATAAGATGCTTATGATATATCATTAGGAAATTGCAAATAAAAACATAATGAAATACCATTGCAGTGGTAAGTATCAAAAACACTGACAAAATCAAATGCTAGTGAGGATGTGGAGCAATAGGAATGTCCATTCATTGTGGAGAGTAAAAATGGCATAGCCACTATGTTCCACAGTTGTCAGTTTCTTATAAAATGAAGTGGACTCTTACCATTTGGTGTGGAAATTGGTACTTATCCAAATGAGCTAAAAACTCATATCTACATGAAAACCTGCACTTGGGTATGTATAGCTGCTTAATTCATAATTGCCAGACTTGGAAGCAATTAAGATGTCTTTTAGTAGGTACGTCCACACAATGCAATATTATTTGGTGCTATGAAGAAGTATGCTATCAAGCCATGAAAAGACATGGAGGAAATTTAAATCCATATTTTTGAGAGAAGCTACTTAGAAAAGTCTAAATATACTGTATGACTCCAATCTCATGACATTCTAGAAAAGACAAAGCAATGGAGACTGTTTTTGCCAGGGGTAAGGAGGTGTAAAAGATGAAAAAGTGGAGCACAGAGGAATTTTAGGGTAGTGACAATACCTCCATATGATTCTATAATGTAGATAATTGTCATTATCACATTTTTAAAATCCATAAAATGTATAACAACAAGAGTGAGCCTTAGTATAAACTA